ACCCATAGCAGCTCATCAGAGGGATTAGTCGTTAGCAAGGCTCCTATTAGCACAGAGGATGGTAGGAAGTTGTAGTCAGGGGGTCGTGGGTACACACAACATGGGCGATTGGGGGTAAGGGTACAGAGGATCCGTACCTGAGGGGTCATGTCTGGAGAAGCGGCGTAGTCAGTCGCTGCCATAGCTGCCATAGCTGTCGAGCTTCGGCGCAGCGATGGATCAAGAGCTCCGTTGGTCGAAGCACGGAGTGGCCGGCCCAAGAAGGTGCCTTGCCAGCCGCAGACAGACGGTTAGCTCACCTGGTTGCGTAGTATGAGGGTGGCGCATGCAGATGAGCAGCAGCAGCAGCATTGCTGCGTAATGATGAGGTAATCTTTGCGCGTAGCAGAGTTGGAGGCTGAGTGCAGGAGGAGGGTAGAGAGGTGGAATGCAGCTGAATACATAGTAATTGTGATATGCCGGGGTTTGTGGTAGTGGGCGTAGGAGGAAGAGGTATTCACAGCAGGGGAGGGTTAGCGGAGGCTGCCATTGCATTGAGGGGTATACGTGTTTTGCCTTGTAGATGGTCATGGCGGGGGTGGAGTGTAGGGAGGTAGCGGGTGGGGGGTGTAGTATGGTTACTCGGGCTGTATGAACGAGATTTAGTGTCGGGAGGGTAAGCTTGCGGGGGACTTGGCTTAGTGTGACGTGGGCGAGTGCTTTCAGTCAGGGTCGGAGGGAGCGAGGTGCATTACGGTACTTTACTGGGTGCATGCTTTTGTCTTGTTTGTGTTGCCGTGTCCTGTTGTGGCTATGGTGGTGTTTGTTGTGTAGTGGGGGTAGTGTGACAGTGGTTTTGTCACGGGTTGTCAGTGTCGTTTCATTCGAGTGTCTTATGTGGTAGATCCTGTTGTGTTTTTGTGTGGTGTCGATTCGTGAAGGTGGTGTTTCATGTTTCGCACCCGGTCGCCGTGTTGCTTGATAGTCGTAGTTCTTTTTTGGTGTGAGTCGTAGCTTTTTTATTAAGAGTATGGGTTTTGGGTGCGCGACGTGTTGCTTGAGTGTTTCACCCAGGTCCATAACCAAAGGTATTGCGTGATTGTATCTACGTTTATATGTTGTTTCTTTTCCGTTGTGTATGATCAGATTTGGTTTGTTGTTACTTGTGCACACATCGTGGTTTGTCAGGGGTGTTGGTGAGGGAGTTTCTTAGGAGGGAGGAAAGTTTTGTGTATAATTTCATATTTTAGGCTTCTATTGAGTTTTGTTATTATTATTTATTTTATTTTTTTTTAAATACTATTGTTTTAGTTTTATTTTGATTAATATTAAAAATTACTATTATTATTTTATTTTATTTTCATATTTTAAAAAAGAATTTTTACTCTTAATTTTAATTTTTATTTTTATTTTTTTTATTTTTTATTTTAAATGTTGTATGTGTGTGTGTGTGTGTGTGTGTGTGTGTGTGTGTGTGTGTGTGTGTGTGTGTGTGTCGTATTGACCAATAACCGGTATGTGCGGTATTGTTTGTATGATACATAGGTGTGTGGCCTATTGTTTGCGTTGTGTACGGTTGGGGTGTGGTGTTCTATTTCCGGGGTGTGGGATAGCATTCAGTAGGTTGTAGTGGGGGTGTAGTGGGGAGGACTTTTTTAGTTTTTTTATGCGATTATTTGTTTATATTTATAGTATTTTATTTTCTTTTTTGTTCCTTTAGGTGTCCTTCATCTTTTTACAAAAAATTGTCATTTGCGACTTTTACTTTTTACGTTTGTTTATTATTTATTATTTTTTATTCATTAAGTTTATTTATTTTAATATTGTTTAATTATCATTTTACAATTTTTATCATTATTTTATTAAAATTATTATTAATATTAGTCTATATTACTCGTTAAATTTATTATTATTTATTATCATTACTTAATATATTTTAATATTATGTATATATATTTTCAGTAATTATTATCATTATTATTTATTCTTTTTTTATTATTATCTTATTATATTATTAGAGAGTAATTCTAGCATTTTTTATTTTGTAATTGTGTATCAGGTTTTAAGAGAGTGTGTGTGTGTGTGTGTGTGTGTGTGCTGTCTCTTATACACATCTAGATGTGTATAAGAGACAGAGGTAAGTTTGTCAGGACGTGAGGTAGGGGGAAGTGTGTGTGTGTGTGTGTGTGTGTGTGTGTGTGTGTGTGTGTGTGTGTGTGTGAGAGAGTGAGAGAGAGAGGATCACTCACCCAGGAAATGCCAAGAGGGTGAGCCAAACGTCAGGGCCTCAACGAATTTACTGGTCACTGACTGATGTCACTCTGCTCCACAGAATAGCAGAAAGATATCGGTTTCAAGGCCCAAATTGTTTTTCTTCTTCAAACAGCAACCAGAACAGGATCACCGAAAAACAAGCTCGTCACTAGACAAAGGTCTGGTTAGCACACTCTTTGGAACATCCTTTAAAATTGGGACAATACAGAGAAGATTAGTATGGCCCCTGTGCAAGAATGAGAAACGGTCCAAAATGCCATGCTGCTTGAGCTATCAGAAATGTCAGCCCACACCGCATCACCGAATCGTTCGCAGATCCGAATGAATTCATCTCCATGGCACACCTCCTTTCACACACATCACGCAGTCTCAAAGGGTGTAGCCCTCAAGTGTTGCTGAGTGCTGAATAAATTCTTCACCTGGACAAAGCTGATGGCTACATCCATTCTGTTTCGCGTCTTTCCTACATGGTACTTGCGATTCCATGCATTTGAAGAACAGTGCCACAAGAAATGTGTTGCATACAACGTCTTAGATCGTCCTCTCCTCTGCTGAGGATAAGTAGCAGCAAAAAAAAAAAAAAAAAAATTGAAAAAAAAAATGATAACAACAAAAACAGGGAACAGAGTGGAAGAGACCGTACATCTGAATACTGAGACATGGTGACAAATCTGACAGTACGTCATCCAAATCATCCAAACTGCAGTGACTGTCTGAGAGTCGATTGCAGCGAGCTGACATACTTAAGAAGTCTGGGGAACTCAGAGAACGTTCTACGCCGTGCGCACGGCGTACTCAGCGATTAGGCGCTTCATTGCACAACAGCACCGCTCTCACTCTCCGGAATGTGCTGCCCGCTTTCAGTCTCGACTGTGCAATGAAGCGCCTAATAGCTGAGTATGCCGTGTGCACGGCATAGAACGTTCTCTGAGTTCCTTCATGCCCAATCTGCTATAGGACAACTGCACAGCATCTACACAACAAGGCACTCCAAGAAGCAGCTGACACTTTGCTCCACATCTTCATGCCCTCTCGCGCACTAGCCCGCTGCACAAACATGTTCAGCCCGCTTTCAGTCTCGACTGTGTAAACCCTGTCAGTTACTCGTACCTACTTTCCAGAAGTATCCACCAGATCTCCTGATAGGCATATGCCAGAAGTGCTCTCTCTCTCTCTCTCTCTCTCTCTCTCTCTCTCTCTCTCTCTCTCTCTCTCTCTCTCTCTCTCTCT